GCATTCCCTTGGTTTTGAACGTGACCTGACCAAAAAATGCGGCCATCGCTGATGAGGCACCCATAAAAACAAATAAAGGAATATTTTGTGAAACCATTTCGGTTCATAAAGAAGAGTTAGTCTAGTTATTTATTGAGAGGAAAAAAACACCGCAATAAAGCGAGAGAAAAAAAATGCACGCACTGTTCGCAGTGATGTGTGTGTGTGTTTCTCGGGTTATTGCTGGAATGAGGAAGATGATGGAGTCCAGCATCAGCCAAAAGCAGAACAAAAGAGGGGATCGGGGATATATGTGAGGGTAATTAGACAAGCACGTGCTGGGTTTGAATCACCCATAAAGCCCTAATCAATTGTTGCGACTTGTGATGGGCCGAAAAGAAGCCGGCAGCAGCAGATGAGACCCTCCTCGAAGCAGGAATGTTTATTCCGCATCTCCTAATTGCCCCATTATTTCACGTACCTGCGTGCTTGTGGTGGTGGTGGTGGTGGTGAAATTTCACCCCCGCGAAAACGAGAGAGAGAAAAAAAAAAGTTTAATGATTTACGAGTTCTTTTTCCTCCCCCCCCTTTTAAATACGTTTCCTCTTATTCCCCCACCCGATGGAAGAAAGAGTTGGTTGGTTGGTTGGTGCATTATGGTGGTAATCAAGAGACCGAGAGGTTGGGAGTCGTTAACCTCGGGGTAAACACGGCAGGGGGGTCATGCAAATGAACCCCAGAGTCCAAGAGGTCGTCGAGACTCGGTTATCATTATTTCTTATTCTCCCCCGAAACAGTTTCTTGTTTAAAGACCCGACCCCGCTCCAGTATATTGAGCATATACTGTACACTGCTGATGGCACGTGTTTCGCATTCATCACCCGCCCTCTCGAAAGGATCATTATATATATATATATATATATATTTTTTTTTTATCTTTAAAGTTTACTTCAATAGTTGAAGCCTCAATTTCTGATATAATATGAGCGAAAAATGAAATCATGCAAAAATAAGATCCAGCATCAGGAAAAACCCAATTTATTTCCCCGCGTATTTCGTATGATGGAATTTCAGCGCTATTTTGGTTCGTGCTTTAAAACGACACATTTTTTTTTATTGTGCGCGAGAAATCGTGAATAAAAACAGGTTCGATTTTGTCGAGGTTGAACCTAGCTCTTTGACTCGAACTTCAATTGTCCAGCAAATAAAAGAAATGAGATTCGGAAGTTTGGAAACGAGTGTTTATGTGGGAGGAGAGAAAGAAGAATTGCTAAAAATTGTATTTGGTCAAATTCTCGGCTTTAAATTTCTTCACAAACTATTTAGGAGGCAATGGTTCATTTGCCCAGTTAGTCTTACAATTCCTTTCAAAATGCATCAAAATAACTTTTTTTTGCTCTCCTAATATGTGTCGAAAAAATACTAACGGAAAGGCCTCCAGAAAATTCGGATTATGCAGATTTGAGAAGAAAAGCTTTTCATCTTATGGAGAGGCTTTCAATGCATCGTTTTTATGCGGGACTCTGGAGAGGGACTTGGAAAATTCAAAATTACATCATTTAACTCGAAGAGGTTCAATAAGTTATTCAGTTTCATTTGCATATATGCACTCTATAGAAACCCGTATGACGGATTTTTTTCAATATAACGACTTGTTAGGTCTCTGTCGAAGCTCTTTAAAAAAGGAAAAATTGGTAAAAAAAAATAATAATAATTCATGCTATTATGTTAATATTTTCATCAATAAGACAAATTACTTTTTTTATAATTATTTCTGCCGTTCTCCTCATAAATATGAGAATAAACGAGTTCAGCTTACTTGTGAAACTTTCTTACTGGACTTTCGTGCGAATGTGAGAAATGTGCTATTTTTTGCTGGAAATTTTTCCAGATACTCAGATTTGCCCAGAAAAAAAATTCAGATTTGAAGGAATTCCTTGCAGATATCGGAAAAATAAAACAATTGTTTGCAAGAATTTTGAAATAATGAGATTTTATCGGGTTCCCATAAAAGTTCATTTTAATGACATTTGACCTGTAAAATGATTTTAGTTCTATATAGCTTGAAATTTTTTTACTTTTACACTGGGTGATGTCTGCTGCTATACTCATCGTCATTGCGTAATTCTTTGATTTATCCCATACATAGAAGTCATTTTTGATGTGTTTAAAAAACCGCTCCATAAATATATACGGCATGAAAGAGAAAATGAGATTGATCTTTTTTTGAAAAAAGAAACAGAAATGCGATCCTTTGAAATAAATTGTCATGCAGCGGTTTTTTTAAATTATTTCTCGTGATGATGTGAAACACCGAGCGGACTGTGGTAAAATTAAAAAAATAATAATAATAAAAGGAAATGCTGGCACCAACACTCACTCATTGGCCTCGGATTTCGTCCACTGTGGTTTCCTGTCCTTGTTTTCACTTGTTACCACCCGTTGAATGGAACCAGAAACATGCTCAGTGTCACGGTGATGACAAAAACCCGGTTTCGGTCACTGCAAGGTCGCAATAAATTCCGAGGCACATGCAAAGCGGCTTGTGGGAGAACTCTTGCACCTTCTTCTTCTTCTTCTTCTTCATCTTCTGGCAACTTATTGAGTTTCAAGACCATTTTTCGTCAACATTTTCTTTTTTTAGAAAGATACGCCGAGTCCCGCCCGCGTAGCGAAAGACTCTTATAATTAAATAAAAAAGTTGCATAATTGAAACATATTGATCGACGAGAAATAAGTTACTCATGGAGTGAATTTTCACCCCGTTACAATATATGATTTACTGTCAAACTTATTGAAGTCGAATTTCAAAGGAACAGCAAAACATTTTGGGCTTGAGAGGTTTTGACGAGTTGAAGAAAAGAAAACATTTTTGTCCAGTAAAAAATAAATCACAAGAACTTGTGATCCATGATATTCTGGGCCTTTAAACCCTTCTTAAATGAGTTGTCAATAAGGTGCTGAACTTCGAGACAAGAGTTCATTTACTCAATTATTCTTGCACACAATTTGAAAGCGCGTTGAGTTACATTTTAATTTATTTTCTCTGTCTTGCGGCAATACATAATATCCAAAAGGTCTGCAGAAAAGTTTAGTTATTATGGATGTTTGAGAGGGAAAGCCTTCGAGTAAAGGAGTTTTAATGCAGTGTTCATAAGGAAATTCAGACAGGGACTTGTCAATTTTGAAATGAGTATTTTTGAGTTATCCAGGTTCAACTGTACAGTATTATCCAAATCAATAACGCCTGCTTCTGAATTGAAAACAAACCAGCAGTATACAAAAGCATCCATAATAGAAAAAAGAAGCCACACTGCATATATACATGGGTTAACCCCTGTTGTGCAGCAAAGTCAGGGTATTTTTGCAAAATTTTGTGCCCATGAGCAATGAAAATTTTAAAAAATTTTGATTTTTGCACCAAAGCCCAAGTTGGGAAGAAGTCTCATTTTTTTTTTTTTTTGATCCTGCAGAAAAAAATTGCCTCAAAAAGAATTAAAAAAAGTTCCTGAATGGGTGGCTTTGTTCAAGAATTTTTGCATAGGATTATTAGCATGAGAGATTTTTGAATACAATAAAAAAGGATTCACCATTCCCACATTTTCCTGACTTGGGCCTTCCCAACCTGATGGGCACATTTCAGTGACCTGTGGTCAAACTGAAATGCGCTGCCCCCCCAAACCCCAACTTTTATTGCCGCAGGACAGCCAGGAACACTCTGCCGTCCAAAAAGGAATTTAAATTTCTGAACTTCATATTTCTGAACCTCGAATTGTATTCTGTACTGTACTGTATATGTATACGGTGTGTGATGGCGGTGGTGCAGATGCTGCAAAGAAACCATATCACAGCACCTGGTTTCCAAAACGAAAAAAAAAATTGTTGATTGAAAAAAAGGGTATGTTTTGTGTCCCCTTTTTTGTCCTGAATGAGATCTAAATACATATAGTGCTTGAGAAAGAAAGAAAGAGAGAGGAATTGATGGGGGAAAAAACGAGGAGAGAAAGGGCGTTTATTTTGGCTTCTGCTGCACGAGGATTGCGTGCTTATCTCCGCGGGGCCCGGTTTTGTCAAAAGAAGTGTCGGCTTTCCTTTTCATTTTTCCTATACTCCACCTCATTGGCCTCTTTTATTTTCTCAAGTGCCGCCTTTTGTGCATGTGTGTGTTTGTCATGTGTGGCGCCGAACTGTGACACCAGCCCAGCCTGCATAATATACGGGTCCCGAAGCTTCCTGTTTTCAGAGGCGTCTCTTTTCAAGAAAAAAAAAAAAAAAACAGAAAAGAAGGGCTAAACGAACGGGGGAGAGAGAGAGAGAGAAAATAGATGTTCAAACTATTATTCAAACATTGTTACGAAAATTGACAAAATTACGTTGCCTTAAAATAATTCTCCAATAATACAATACAAAAAACAGTATACTGGCAAAATGTGCTTGCAACCTCAGCCAAAATTCAAAAGAAAAAAAAAAAGGTATACAGCATATGTTCTCCCAGAAACCCTCATTGAATTTTTTTACCTTGATGGGCAGAAATACTTGATTCTTTGCAGAATCTATAATCGGAACATGATTTCTCAATGTTTGACCCTCAGAAGGCAGCATTGAAAAATGCAGTTGAGATCGAATCTAGGACAGTTTAAGACAGGGGTTATTTGTGAAAATTTTAAACAATTATATTACAAACATATATCTACGATTATGCGGAAAATTATAAATTGTGCCAGTTCTGGAAGAGAAAAAAAACAAACAAGAGAAAGTGAAGACGCATATGAAGGTTATAGTTCTTGATTTTGCTGTCTCTATTGGCCTTGTCTCAAATCATCCCAAATTGTCAATCTTGAATTACCCATATCCCACAGCTGATGTGAGTTGAATTTGAAAGACATCGACAATATTTTGCTAGGCTGAGTTTTTCCAGCAGTGGGAAACTTTAGATTGATTATAAGGGTTGGTACTATAATAGAGGGATGAAATTCACTTCATCATTTTAAACCGTGAAATAATTTGGATAGCAAAAGAAAATGCGCAGAAACTTTTCATCGGGAGACGTTGGACTGCTGAACGGAAATGCTTCCGATTTAGAATCAACCGCGGATCTCAGAATTTCCGAATCTTTTCTTTATTCTTCTTCAAGTAAAATCGTCAGTGTGAGAGAGAAGGAATTTAATGGTTTTCTTCTTCTTCTTCTTCGTAGGCGACTGGATGATGCGGAGAAAAAGCCGTTCATCGAAGAAGCCGAAAGACTGCGCAAGATCCATAAAAATGAACACCCGGACTACAAGTACCAGCCTCGACGTCGCAAGGGTCACGAGCCAACTCAAAATTCTCCCCCGGGGCGACATCGTCCGGCCAGCCTCAGTACCAACAAGAAAGGCGCATCGAAAGCCAACGCACTAGATGGCAGTGCTACAGGACCCGTCTTGCCCACTGCGAGGAAACGTCCCATGAATCTGGACTCTGGGTTTGTTTTTCCCGTCATTCTCGCTTCACGTATCTCTAACAAATCTCTGAGAAAGGTTTTGGAAAATACTAAAGGAATCTCTTCATTTTTAAATTTCACGAGAGTCTATGTACAATATTCTCCGTACTGTATTTGCAATATAATGCAGTCTTGTTGTGTTTTTTCGTTTTCAGAAATGTTCAGTACTGTACTGTACATGAATGTATTTTTTTTTTATTCCATTCAGGTGCTCTTCGAAGGCGTCGACGGGGTCGTCGAAAAGTTGCGACGTGTCGCCGTCGTCGGCGCAGATCCTGAGTGCGTGTGCCGTGGCGGCCACGGCCAACGTGACCAACATCATCACCATCAACAACGGGGCGCCACCACCGCCACCATCACACGCTGCCGCCATTGCCAACTCGAACAGCTCCGTCGGCAACATTAATAATAATCATAATAATTCAGGTGCAGGCAGTGTGTCGCCTGGATCGGCGGCGGCGGCGGCGGTGGTGTCGTCCAACGTGGACGCCAGATGCTCGGCTTTCGTCAACAAGTCTCACGACTTTTATCGCGGCTCCTATTTGCACGGCCACCGTGAGTTATTGCGTGTTTCTGCTTCATCTTTTTCTTTTGAATGCTTCATTTCATTTTGCAATTTGCAATGACAGTCAGCAGTCAGTAATCAGTATATGGATGAAACATGAATGCTGGGGTTGTCCCAGTATATCCGCGAGGGATTTTACATTCTCCACGCCTTTAAAGTGTTTGAATTTTTTTTAATGTTTCCCGAAATTTTTTAGGATTCTAAATTTGAACAGCATTTTAAGACATATTGCATGTTGAAAAGTGCACAATTTTCTGATGCAGCTCAAGTTCTTCACACTCATATCACGGATTGCTGAAAATGAATCAGAGGAGTTTGAAAGTTATCAGGTTTTTATTGTTGTTGAGAATATCATCCTTCTAACATCCAACTTTTTTTTCTCTTTTTTTTCAAGATGATCACCTTGTTTCAGCAGAGCAGAGAAAAAAACGCTAAACAGTTTTTTGAGGATTGCAATGGCGTCGCCTCAAGTTTCAAATTTTCCCAAAGTTTTCATTTAATCATTTGACGTGGCTAATTCTCTGTGCAGGGAAACTCCAAGAAGCAAAGTCAAGAAGTTCAGTACAGTACTGTGTTGCATATTTCCATTGGTTTTTGTACAGTAGTTATTTTTTTATCCATTATACTGTATTGTACTCGAATTGATTAATGCCAGGAATTAAACAATTAAATTAATGTACTACATATATTGTGATTCTTCCCATCCGTTGATTAATCGGTGTTCCATCAACAGGGGATCAGCAGCAGCAGCAACTGCTCCAACACCACCACCACCACCAACAACAACAACAGCAACTACACCAACAGCAACAACAGCAGCAGCAGCAGCAACATCAACATCAACACCAGCAACATCAACAGCAACCATTCGACTTCAGCAACGTCAACGTCGGCGAGTACATCAGTGCAGATGCACTGGACGACGAAGGCATCGACAGGTACCTGAGTTCCGACGGGACGCCGTTGTTGTCGGGGGCGGCCCGAGTGGCGGCAGCAGCGGCGGCTGCAGGCTCAGCCCCCGGCTGGCCCAGCATGGCCTCGTCCTACCATCACCACCACAACCATCATCACGCAGCAGCAGCAGCAGCTGCGGCGGCGGCTGCTGCAGCTGCAGCCTACCCAGGCTACCATCATCATCATCA